TCCAGCCAGAGAATACGCGTTTTTTCCCAACTCCGCAAAAATGACCGTTTTGGCTGTTTTGGGGAGCACGCTTTCGCGGTGGCGAAACAGCAGTGCCCATTGAAAACTATCCACGGCGTTTGGACAGAAGCTCGGAGAGGTAACCGCAAATAAGCCAAGCGGCATAAACTTCGTCTTGGTGGGCTTGATCGCGGAAGTCACCGCGGCTTCGCTGCCCAAACTCGAGATCGATTGATCAATTCGGGGATGCAGTTCTGGCCCATATTTTCGGTCGCGACCTTTGAACTTCCATCGCTGCTGTGAGGGACACCGCGCAAGGCCTCCCAAGCCCTCGAAGAGGTGTGAAGGAATGCAGTGGCCATCGCCGTAATCAACGGCGCACGACTAGGGGAATGGCTTCCACGACGGAGTGGAGAAGTCGAAACTTGCATCGACAATTGAAAAGATGGAACGCGAATAGAGCGGTCAGAGATACAATATTTTGTCTCGAGTGTGGTCCCAGCCACGCGCGAAAGCCTCGATTCAAGGAGCAATCGAGGAACAGTGTCAGAGTGAAGTTACAACACAACCTCAGAGTGACAGCCGGCACAGAGCTCAAGGTTGGGATTCTTGGGTGCTGGCCTTTTTTGCTTGCTGCAAATTCTCGCATCGGATATCAGGGAGGGTGGCGATTTCTGCCATCGTCAATGCCGTGACAACCGGCTTCTTCGATGGGGATCTAAGCACGGTTGAGTGTGTTTGGCAAGCGATATGCCACGGGAGGGGCACTGCCCTTCGCCACGAAGGCAATAACAATTTTGTTTCGGCACTTCTGGGATGGGAGCGACTCAGGACCCTGCGGATCCCCAATCGGCGCCGATTCAGAAAGCACAGTTTTAGGCCAAATCCTAGAATATTTAGAGGGCACCCAGAGGAAATGGGGTTGAAAATTTTTTCACAAAAATTGGTGATTTGATCTTGCAAAGTTGTACCAAAATTGGACAATGGGCAAGATTATTGTAATGAAGGTAATATGGTGATAAGTTAGATTATTTTTTCCATTCGCCCAATATTAATTTTCGCCTATTTGAGAGAGAAGTGTCGTCACGAAAACTGCGCCTAAATCATAAACGGAGGCCAGAATCGTAAATATTGGGTTTCAAACGTAGATTAGAACTTATAAGAGAAACATTTGGTCCTCACCCCTTGTAGCCTGCCCCGGCAAAATTACCATGACGCGGTCCAAAAACTTCAATTTCCACTGTCTTGCAGACCCCCCTGGTTTGGGGCCACTCCCTTGACTGGAAATTGCAGTACCAGTGGCTGCCACAATTGCGCCAACACTAGTAAAAAAATAGGCCAGATAACACAGTCCTGACACGGTCTGCTCAAAATCCAACTGTGTACTTACGGCAAATGTAGTCCCAAAAGTACACAGTTAGTGCACACATTGACATAGTTTTAACCTTGCATTCTAGGAAACCGTTTAGTCTACACAGTTGTTTGAGGGTACACGGTTGAAACTGTGTCAATCTGTGTACTAATTGTGTACTTTTGGGATCACATTTGCCGAAAGTACGCAGTTGAATTTTGAGCAGACCGTGTCAGGACCGTGTCATCTGGCCTGTCTTTTCCTAGTGCAAAGGACAGGATCTAGCACGTGGCATAGCTCTTGCCGAATGCACTCGAACGTGCCCTTATTTCAGGCGGCCATGGCCGCTGTGTTGGCGATGCCGGATATCCCTGGCTTTCTTGATTTCCGATTGGCGGACATCCCACGAGTGTAAAACACCAACGCCTAAAAACTCGAAGTCTGGGATCAGTGGGGACTGTCGCTGCAAGGCTGTTTGGTAGACTCGCTTGGACATTTCGCCTCAGTCGATGCTTGAATTGGGGCTTGCGCGGGTCCCTAAGCAGAAAGTCCGCAAACAGCCACTGTCTGTGGATATCGTAACCGATGCTTGTGCGCGGTACACAATCCATTGGAACCTAGCAAGTATCCTCGCTGCAAAATACCCGATTTCGCTTTTGTAGCCATCCCCCTTGCACCCATTCCTTTGAAATTCCTGAGCAAATCGCGATTCCTGAGACAATGCCCAATTCCCTAAACCTTTGCGCTATACTGGAGTGATAGCCATCACCACATCTGGCCCCTTGTTAAGAGGATTGGCAGACCTCCCTCAGTTGCCCTCGAAGCGCCGAAGGAGCTCGAAAAGCCCTGGCCAAAAAGATCCGGGTCCGGAATGTCGCTTCGATCCACCAGATTAAGCCTGAATTGAGACTCCAATCCACGGTGAGTTCGATGATCAAGGCCTTCGAAACGTTTCCTATTGCCCTACTTCTGCAAGCATCCTGGCGATATTTACTCCGAACGGTGTGGATAATTTCGCAAGGACGGATTTCTTTCGCTGCTGCGAAGGAGCCCTCCTCAAAACAGACAAGAATGGCTGTTTTCAGCGCAACGTCCGAAAACGGCCCTTTTGCCGAGAGGAACCTTGTTACAAAGTACCGCCAAATCCTCAACGCTCAATGGATTGACTTGAAACTTTCATAGTATACTCCAATCTCACAAGCACAACTTTGAGATAAATTTCTTTGAAAAATGATGTGGGAACAATGGAGAAGTAGCACCAAAAATCATAGACGACAACTAATATGCGGCAGAGGAGATAATTTTGTGAGGGCGTGCGGCTCCAAGTCCAAAATACAGTCATAAGTAACAGCGTGTCACTGTTCGATGTACAGGTGCATCGCAAAGTGCACAGGGCGGCAATGTTGCAAACTGACCAATCGCGTTGTGTATTTAAATGAATTGGCGCACTGCTATCAACAAGTCGATGACTGATCTGTCAAGCTCATGAGCTTCACAGAAGGGTGGCGATTGGCATCCGCAGCGAAGTTGCACCAGACTCAGAGAGCCGCCTACCAAGGGCACTCTAAGCGCCATACTACCCAAATTAGGTCAGGGAAGAATACCATTGATATGCGCGGACGCGAGGGCCAGCCGCTATTTGCTGGTCGACGTGGAGACCATGGACCCACAAGATGTGTTCCAGAACGCCTTATTTACGAGGGTATTGGGTCAAGCTGACGTGGAGCAGTTGCCGGAGTGCGCCCTGACGGCCAAGTGCATCCGCAACGAGGATGCGCACTGCGGGAGGGATCAGTTGTGTGTGACACCGACGCTGCCCAACGGGAGGGACATCGGTCTTGCGGATGTGGAAAACGGCAGGTCCAAATTCGAATGTGCGAAGTTTTCGAGCAGGCGCGTGGTTACACTGCGCCACGTACTTGGCCCATCATTTTGCGTCTCGGGTAAGAATTCTCATTGAGCGATTGGGTCATATCTAAATGTTGCAATGTCGTGATGTGCATGGAAATCTCAATGGCTTGATGTAAGACCACACTGGGGTCATGGTTGTCCTGTGCGATCCATGAGACCAATGGTATCGTTTTTAGACCATCATGTTTCTGAGGCTGACAGAATCTTGGCGATGGAAGTGCATGTGCACACAACTTTCTGCTTGATGCTTTAAGTGTCTATGGTAGTATAGATCACTTGTCTTCATAGGGCTCCCTGCAAGACGTAGTTGACGTTGGCCCAACGCGCGTCATTCCGCGCATTTCTGGCTTTCCAATGTCTGCGCGTCGTTGAAACAACATGAAATCGCGAATTTATGCCCCTACAGCCCCGGGTGACTTTGCTGTTTAATAGTCACCCTCGCTCACCCCGCCACCCAAGAGAAGTTCGGGCCAACAGCCAAAGTGTTCTCGACTTTCGATGCCTTGCAGGCCATGTGCAGCTTCTGCGAGGCTCTCGCGAACGGCAATAAGGAGCGGTGATGCTGCCACCTGTCTAGTATCAGCTGCTCTGGCGTGAGAGTGCGCAGGAGTGCAGGGTCTCCGGTTGCCCTTCTGTAATGGAGAAGTGTGCGGGCGGGGTTTGTTGTCAGGTAGGGGGGCGGTGGGTCCAAAGGCAGCCACTTATTTTCGTCCCCAACTGCCAATCCCTGCAACGTGAAACTGAATTTGTGGATTCCTCGAAGCACAGACCACTGGGGTTCAGTGCTTTAATTTGTATCGCGAAGCTGAGGATAAACTGAGCTGACCATCACAGGTATTTGTACAGAAAGAGCATTGACGAGAATGCTTTCGTTCACTTTGCCAGTGTGCTGGCACGGTGGCTAGAGGGCCCCGTCGAGTTGAAGTGGATCGTGCAATGCTCGTTGTTCCGCAATGGGCGCGCCGGGTCATAGACAGGGGTCCGAGGGCACGATGTGCTAGTCATGACTAGCACGTCGTGATCCCCCTGATCAGGGGAAAAAACACCCCTACATCTCGTGCATTAGTGGCATCGAGGCCGAAGAACTTTCGGCCCCCTTGCCATTCCCGCCCGCGAGGTACGCGGCGGCTTTGCGCCACGTATTTGAACCCGATTACATACCCCTGTACGTATGCGTTCGTACTACAGTGTGTGCTGGAGCAGACGCCAAGTGCAACCGCACACTTCCGTGCGGATCGGATGCCCCACATGTACGGTCACCTCGTGCGCAAACCTGGAAGGCAGCAGCCGCGTTCCCGCAGCCGAGAAAATTCTGCCGCCCAGGATCGCCCACGAAGATAGCAACGCTCGAGGCATGCACATCCCGGCACTCGCGGCGTGCCTGCTCGCGCTTGCGAGCATCTGCCTCGCTGTCGCCAACGCTGACGGCACCCGGCAGCAGCAGTCCAGCGCGTTTGGCCCCGTGGAGTGCACCTACGGTGAAGTTTTGAAGCCAGCGAGCGTGGAGGAGGTCCAGCGCATAGTGCGGGGGGCGCTGGAGGCGGGGCGGCGCGTCAGGGCCCTGGGGAGCCGCCACTCGATCAACGACATCATCTGCACGGGCCGCGATGATGACGTGGCGATCGACATGGGAGCCTTTGCCGGCGTGGAGGTCGCCGCCGACAAGAAGACCGCCACCATAGGCGCGGGCGCAAAGCTGCAGGACGTGTTGCCGAGGCTGGGGGCTGAAGGGGTGACGATGTTGGCCATCACAGGGTTCGCTGGCCTCACGGTGGGTGGCGTAATGGGCACGGGAGGGCATGGATCCACGCTCGTGCATCCCACCAGCTTGTCCGATCAGGCCACGGCGATGACCCTCGTGGACGGCAGGGGGGACGTGGTGGTGGCGACGGGCGACCTGCTGAAAAGCGCGCGGATCCACCTAGGCGTGATGGGCGTGGTGGTGAATGTCACACTGCCGGTGCGGGACAAGATCAAGCTGAGGCTGGAGACGCAGGTGCTGGGCGAGGAGGCGCTCCTGAACGACCAGGGCCTCCTTGAGAGGTTGCGCTCGGCGGACTACGCTTTCATCCTGTGGTTGCACGGGCAGAAAAAGGTGCTCGCGGCCGAGGGAGAGGCTTTGCCCTTCGAAACCGAGGGCGACGACGTGGCCATCTCACCCGTGACTGCGGAGGGCCTCGACGCTCAGCTGCTGGCGCACTCCCAGCGCAATGCAGCTTTCTTCTGCAATCCGGCCGCGGGACCGTTGCAGAATTCCACCATCACTGGAACGTTCGGAAACATCACCACTGCTGGTTGCGACACGCCGGAGGCGTGCATCTTCGGCACCCCCTGGCAGGACTTGGCCATCGCCGTGGACTTGGCGGACCTTCCGGCGGCGTTGAGAAGGGCGCGCCAGGTGATGGACGCCATGAGCGCCTGTATGCCCGAATGGCTGATCAGGTTGCACGGCTCCAGCGACAACCACATGTCCATGGCCTGGGGTGCCGACAAGGCTATCATCGACTTGGTTTTCGCGATCCCTGTCGCCGCGGACGAGCCGGCGGTCTTCCTGGGGGCCACTCAGGCTGTGTTTCAAGTCTTGATGCACGAGTTTGGCGGCGTGCCGCACTGGGGAAAGAACGGGCCGGCGTTTTGGAGCAAGGACTTCGGCCCAGCTGCAGAGCGCTTTCCGCGGCTGGCCGAGTTTCTCACCGACATGACGAGCATGGACCCAAGCGGAGTATTCCAGAACGCTTTCTTCAGGAGGGTGATAGGCGAAGCTGAGGTAGAGAAGTTCCCGGGATGTGCCCTGACGGCCAAGTGTATCTGTGACGAGGATGCGCACTGCGGGAGGGATCAGGTGTGTGTGACGCCGACGCTGCCCGACGGGAAAGAGATCGGACTTGCGGATGTGGCAGACAGCAGGTCAAGAATTCGGGTGTGCGAATTTTCTTGACAATGTACGTCGTTACCCGGCACCACTTGCTTGTGCGGCCATATTCTATGGGGAGTCCACCGAACTTGGCCCATCGTTTTACGTGTCGGCTGGGAATTCGGGAGGTTGGTTAATATTTGCGTTTCAACACTGTTATAAGGTTAAAAATCTTAATTATTTGAAAATAACACTGGGCTCTTGGTACTCATGTGCGGTTCATAAACCGTTCATACATTTCTTGGATATTATTGCTTCTGGCCCGGACAGAATTCCGTGATGGGCAGGAGTACAAACAGAACTTTCCGCTGCATACGTTGGTGAATCGATTATGTGACACATGGATGTAGGAATCGTACTGCAAAATACAGTTGACATTGGCCCGATAGCGCGCGTTTGTTCAAGGCAACATTGTCATCTGTTTCGTTGTTGTAGCCAGGTTTGTTGCAGGCTCATATTGTGTGCACAAAGTACGCGTATTTATGGCTTTCTTATACTTCCTCCATTCCAGATTGACTGTTGTTTACTTGAAAGACAATATTCGTTACAAGGACAGACTCAAATTACAAAGCAAGGTCCAAATCGAAAAGATTGGGCTTAAGTTTTCCTTAACTACCAATTTCCAAGAAGGAGAAATGAGACACGGCCCCTTTGAGCATTAGGAAAAAGGTAAATGTTGGTCATTTTGGACTCGAATGTCTAGCTTTACTAGATTAAAAACCCTTGATATAAAGTATTGCCAAATCCTCAATACTTAATGGATTGACTTGAAATCTCGATAGTGCACTCCAAACTCACAAAGTGAAATTTCATTAAAAATTGATGTGGTTCATGATGGAAGAATAACGCCCCCAAATCATAGACGACAATTGATCTAGGACGGAGGAAGTACGTGTGCATATAGTGTTGCGTATTTGGACTCCAGGTAGGCCTACAGATCGGGTTGCTTGACTGTAGCCCTCGTTCACCATTCCGGCTAAGGGGAGGTTCGGACCAACCGGCAAGCAATTTTGATTTCCAAGCCATGCAGGCCACCTGCTGCTGCTACGACTTACTCTTCTGCGGCAGCGAGGACAACTGGTGTGGCCGCCTCACTGGCATCAAAGGCTCTGGAGCGCAATCCAGACCCTTTGACGCCAGTGATCCATGCCATTCTCGCTAGCGGGAATGTGCAGTCACATCACCTTGCCCCCCACCAACCCCTTTCTGCCAGGGCGAAATGTGCGCGAGTCCCAGGCGAGACGTGTTAGGAAGCCCTTGCAAGGAATGCACCGCAGCCAGCAGCTTAGCCAAGACTGGAGCATGGCTTTGCTTGGTTGAATCATATCTCGGGACTACGTACAACATGGCCACGTCAATGCAACGTATCTGCACGTTTTCATGGGCGCATTTTTCAGCTTCTGTATGCAAACAGATACGCACACTCATAACATTGTAATATTTATAGTGCCGTAGACGTGGTCATCAACAGACCGATACTATCATGGAGGTGGACGTATGGATGGATATCTCCCCAGAAAATGCATCTTCACCTAGAATTGCATAGACGTCATTGCAATATTAGAACTGCATTGCTGTTGACCCAACACCGGGCAACACAAAAGCAATTACAATTTGCCTATAGCGACAAACGTTGATGTGTGTTCCGATGTGTTTTTCAATGCGGCTCTGCTGCAGCAGTATTCAACGTTGCATCAATGAGTCATTGACAATGACACTTTAAACTCAATGTTACACCAGTTTCAACACAAAATACCAGGTGACACAACATCCAGAAACCCTGAGCGCAACGCAAGTACCAGGCATATGATTCAATATACTCCAGACACATGTGAACAACACCAAAATCATGTCATTGAAGCCCGTTTCGCGAAGAGCCCATCGATTCAAGAGCCGCCGCCCCGGGGCCCCGCCGGTTTTGCTGGCCCCGCTGTTGGGCTGATATTATTCTTTATGTTTTCCTACAATTTGGGATGAGGTCCTTCGGGCAAACACAGTTCATATGATTGAACCATGTGGTCGCATTTGGGTTCCAGGAAGGCAATGCAATTTGATGCATCAAATTGTACTGTCAACTCATGTTGCCAGGAAATAGGGAGGCTTCCTTATTGCTATCGCAATTCAAAGACCGACCTTTTCTGACGGAATAGGAGAAGCATCTGTTTGATTTGTTTTCCAGAAAATAGAGGAGATCCAATAGGGACACCACAAACGAGCATGAAATGAATGAAAGCCCAAAGGCATTCGTGCCACAGCCTGCGCGATGCTCACGCCCAGCCCTGTGCCAACTGACTCACCCCTGAATCACCATCGAATTCTCCCACCCAGAGGTACGGGTAAGGTACGTGGCGGCTTCCGTGCTGCTTGAATCCATTACACATTGGAGGAAATGTCAGGTGTAACTGCGCGCAACCTCGTGGCCGGCCTGTCCCATAAGTATGCACACCTGACGGCCAGAGCTCAAAGGCCGCGTCCGTGCTCCCCACCCGAAAACTCTGCGGCCCACACTTGCTTATGCCCATGGGCGGTGCTCGCGGAATGTCTGCCACGACACTCGCCGTGTGCCTACTCGCCCTTGGGAGCACCTGCCTAGCGGACGCCAACGCCGACGGCACGGAGCAGCTGCTGTCCAGCGCCTTTGGCCCCGCGGCGTGCATCTACGGTGAAGTTTTGACGCCAACGAGCGTGGAGGAGGTCCAGCGGATAGTGAGGGAAGCCAGGGCGGCTGGGCGGCGCGTCAGGGCCCTGGGCAGTCGCCACTCGCTCCACGACATCATCTGCACCGGCCGCGATGATGACGTTGCGATCGACATGAGGGGCTTCGTCGGCGTGGAGGTCGCCGCCGACAAGAGGAGTGCCACCATAGGCGCGGGCACGCAGCTGGGAGACGCACTGACAGCACTGGAAGCCGAGGGGGTGATGATGCTCGCCATGCCGCAGTTCTTGGAGCTCACGATTGGCGGCCTGCTGGGCACGGGCGCGCATGGGTCCACGCTCTTGCATCCCACCAGCTTGTCCGATCAGGCTTTGGCGATGACCATCGTGGACGGCAGGGGGGAAGTCGTGGTGGCGACGGGCGACCTGCTGAAAAGCGTCCGGATCCATCTGGGTGTGATGGGAGTGGTGTTGAACGTCACACTGCCGGTTCGCGACCTGATCAAGCTGAGGATGGAGACGCAGGTGATGGGCGAGGAGGCCATCCTCCAAGACCTGGCCGTGTTTGAGAGGGCGCGGACGGCCGACCTTCTTTCCGTCTTTTGGGTGCCGGGGCGCAAACAGGTGGCTGTTACAGAGGGGGTGGCTGTGCCCTTCGAAAGCGAGGGCGAAGTTTTGTTCGGCCAGTCCATATTGACCGCGGAGGGACGCGATGCGCAGCTCCTGGCGCACGCAGAGCGGAACGCATCTTTCTTCTGCGATCTGGGCGCGGATTCTCTGCAGAACGGCAACGCGACGGGAAGGATGGGAAGCTTGACCGCGCTCAGCTGCGCAACGCCCGGGGACTGCGGTTTCGACACGCCCTGGCAGGACCTGTCCGTTGCGGTTGACTTGGAGGACCTTCCGGCGGCGCTGAGAAGGTCGCGCCAGGTGATGGATGCAATGGCCGCCTGTTTGCCCCCCATGGTTGTCAGAGTGCACCGCGCCAGCGAGAACCACATGTCCATGGCCTGGGGCGCCGACAAGGCCGCCATCGACGTGGCCTTCGCGATCCCCGTCGCCCCGGACGAGCCGGCGGTCTTCCTGGGGGCCTTGCAGGCCGTGTTCCAGACCTTGATACACGAGTTCGGCGGTGTGCCGCACTGGGCGAAGAACGGGGCGGCGTTTTGGGGCGAGGACTTTGCCCCCGCTGCAGAGCGCTTCCCGCGGCTCGCCGATTTTCTGACCGACATGAGGAGCATGGACCCAGACGGGGTATTCCAGAACGCCTTCTTCAGGAGGGCGATAGGCGAAGCTCAGGTGGCGAAGTTTCCGGGATGTGCCCTGACGGACAAGTGTATCTGTGACGTGGACGCGCACTGCGGGAGGGATCAGGTGTGTGTGACGCCGACGCTGCCCGACGGGAGGGATATCGGAGCTGTGGATGTGGCAGACAGCAAGGTACAAATTCGAACGTGCGAGTTTTGTTGAGCAGACGTGTCGTCACCCGGTACCACGTGCTCAGGCACAAATTTGTGCCGCCAGATCTTGCAGGGAATCCACAGAACTTGGCTCATCATTTTGCGTCTCGGCTGGGAATTCTGTTCGAGCGATTGAGTGATGTTTGCTTTTCGCAATATCGTAGTATGGAAGGAAATATTTCCATTGAGATTAATCTCAATGTTTGGATCTGAAGACCGCACAGGGTTCTTGGTTGTCATGTTGCAACTCATGGACCATTGCCAATCTCCTTCGATCATGATGTCTCTTCCTGGCTGAGAATATTCTGGTGATGGATGGGCCGATGTGCAGAACTTTCCATTTGATACATTTTGATGAGTGGATGACGTGATACATGTTTCGATTTTACGATGCTCCTTGAGGCATGCAATTGATATTGAACAATGCCACATGCTAATGGAAGGCAGCATTGCCATCCATATCCTTGTTGTTACATACGCACATTTGTGTACATAAGTACACGTATTATGGCCCCTTACTATCTGATCGTTTTGGCGTGGTTGCTGCGCCATGTAGCTCTACAGTCTGGGGAGCTATAGGGCAGTGAACGCCACATTAGTCTCCGACAGAGAATAGGTGCTCTCTGTGCATTTTATTGGCGTTTATTCCCACGTTGCCCATTTCCTGCAGCGGAAATTCGGATTTGTATGGATTATGCCACCTGCGATGCACCGAGATTCAGTGCTTTGGCTGTAATCGCAAAGTTAAGGACAAGCTGAGTTGATGGTCATGGGCACTTGTACAGAAAGAGCATTGTCGCAGATGCTTTAATTTACCTTGCCATTGTTCGATCAAGGCCGCGAGTGGATCTAATCCACTTTGTACTGGCAGCACAAATGTATCGTGCGACATTTCTTCCTTTGCTGCTG